AAAAAAAAAAAAAAAAAAAAAACAGGACCAACAAAACTAGGAGCTGGTTCTTTGAAAAGAATTAGCAAAATTGATAAACTCCTAGCCAGACTTATCAAAAAGAGAAAAGACCAAAAAATAAAATCAAATCGTAAATGAAAGAGGAGAGATCACAACTGACACCACAGAAATACAGACAATTATACGACAGAATATTATGAGTAATTATATGCCAACAAACTGGGAGATCTGGAAGAAAGGGTAAGTTCCTAAAAGCATACAAACTACCAAAATTGAAACAGGAAGAAATGGAAAATTTGAACAGACCCATAACCAGCAAAGAAATTGAATCAGGGGCACCTGGGTGGCTCAGTAGTTAAGCATCTGACTTCGACTCAGGTCATGATCTCACAGTAGATGAGTTCAAGCCCTACATCGGGTGAGCTCATGCCCTGTTTCAGGTGAGCTCGTGTCCTGCATCGGGTGAGCCCCAACCCTGCTTTGGGTAAAAATCACAAGCCCCAGTTGAGCCCCACTTCTCTCTCTCTGTCCCTCCCTCCCTACCTCTACCCCCCATGGGATCCTTTGTCTCTCAAAAGAAAAGAAAGAGAGAGAGAGAAAGAAAGAAATTGAATCAGTAGTCAAAAATCTCCCAATAAACAAGAGTCCAGGGACAGATGGCTTCCAAGGGAAATTCTACCAAACATTTAAAGAAGAACTCGGTGGCTCAGTCAGTTAAGTGTCTGACTCTTGATTTCAGCTCAGGTCATGATCTCAAGGTTCATGAGTTCAAGCCCCACATGGGGTTCTGCGTAAGAGCCTGCTTGGGATTCTTTCTCGCCTTCTCTCTCTCCTCCTCCACCACTCATACTTGCACTCTCTCTCTCAAAATAAATAAATAAACTTTAAAAAATAAAGAAAGAAGAATTAATACCTATTCTTCTGAAACTGTTCCAAAAAAACAGAAATTGAAGGAAAACTTTCAAACTCATTCTATGAAGCTAGCATTACCTTGATTCCAAAACCAGACAAAGACTCCACTGAAAAAAAGAACTACAGGCCAATATCCTTGATGGACATGGATGCAAAAATTCTCAGTAAGATACTAGAAAATTGAATCCAACAGTACATTAAAAGAATTATTTTCCATGATCAAGTGGGATTTATTCCTGGGCTACAGAGGTGGTTCAATATCCACAAATCAAACAATGCGATACACCACATTAATAGAAGAAAGGATACGAATCATATGAAATTCTCAATAGAGGCAGAAAAAGCATTTGACAAAATACAGCATCAATTCTTGATAAAAACCCTCTAAAAAGTAGGGATAGAGGGAACATACCTCAACATCAGAAAGACCCACAGCTAATATCATCCTCAATGGGGAAAAACGGAGAGCTTTCTCCCTAAAGTCAGGAACATGACAGAAATGTCCGCTCGCACCACTGTTGTTTAACATAGCCCTGGAAGTCCTAGCCTCAGCAATCAGACAACAAAAAGAAATAAAAGGCATCCAAATCAACAAGAAAAAAAGTCAAACTTTCACTCTTCACAGAGGACATGATACTCCACATAGAAAACCCAAAAGACTCCACCAGAGAATTTTCTAGATTCATTGATACGAGAATTTAGCAAAGTCACAGGATAAAAAATCAACATACAGAAGTTCGTTGCAGTTCTTCTTTTTTTTAATATTTATTTGTTTTGGGGAGAGCACAAGCAGGGAAGGGGCAGGGAGAGGGGGACAGAGGATCTGAAGTGGGCTTTGCACAGACAGGTTGATGACAGCAAGCCCAATGTGAGGCTTGAACTCACGAACCATGAGATCATGACCTGAGCCGAAGCTGGATGTTCAACCAACTGACTGAGTCACCCAGGTGCCCCTGTTACATTTCTATACACCAGTAATGAAGTAGCAGAAAAGAGAAATCAAAGAATCGATCCCACTACCATCACACCAAAAACCGTAACATACCTAGGGATAAACCTAACCAAAGAAGTAAAAGATCTGTACTCTGAAAACTATAGAATACTTATAAAAGAAAATGAAGACGCAAAGAAATGGAAAAACATTCCATGCTCATGGATTGGAAGAACAATATTGTTAAAATGTCTATACTACCTACCCAAAGCAATTTATACATTCAATGCCGTATAAATAACACCTGTCAAAATAACACCAGCATTTTTCACAGAACTGGAACTTGGAATTCAAAAATTTATATAAAACCAGAAAAGACCTCAAATAGCCAAAGTAATGTTGAAAAAGAGAAGCGAAGCTGGAGGCCTTACAATTCCGGACTTCTAGCTGTATTACAAAGCTATAATCATCAGGACGGTATGGTACTGGCACAAAAACAGACACATAGATCAATGGAACAGAATAGAGAACCCAGAAATGGACCCACAATTATAGGGTGAACTAATTTTCAACAAAGCAGGAATGACTATCCAATGGAAACAAGGCTCTTCAACAAATGGTGTTAGGAAAACTGGACAGCAACATACAGAAGAACTGGACCGCTTTCTTACACCATACACAAAAATAAATTCAAAATGGATGAAAGACCTCAGTGTGAGACAGGAAACCATCAAAATCCTAGAGGAGAACATCTCTTTGACCTTGGCCGTAGCAAGTTCTTACTAGACGCGTCTTCAGAGGCAAGGGAAACAAAAGCAAAAATGAACTACTGGGATTTCCTCAAGATAAAAAGCTTCTGCACCATGAAGGAAACAATCGACAAAACTAAAAGGCAACTGACAGAATGGGAAAAGATATTTGCAAATGACATCTCTGATAAAAGGTTACTATCCAAAATCTATAAAGAACTTCTCAAACTCAACACCCAAAAGAATAGATAATCCAATGAAGAAATGGGCAGAAGACATGAACAGACACTTCTCCAAAGAAGACATCCAGATGACTGACAGACACGTGAAAAAATGCTCAACATCACTCATCATCAGGAAAATACAAGTCAAAACCACAATGAGATACCACCTCACACCTCTCAGAATGTCTAAAATGAACAACACAAGAAACAACAGGTATTGGCGAGGATGTAGAGAAAAGGGAACCCTTAGCACTTCTGGTGGGAGGGCAAACTGGTGCAGCCGCACTGGAAAACAGTATGGAAGTTCCTCAAAAAGTTAAAAGTAGAACTATCCTACAGCCCAGCAATTGTACTACTAGGTATTTATCCAAAGGATAAAAAAAAGAAAATACTGATTTAAAAGGGGACAATGTTTATGGCAGTGCTATCAACGGTAGCCAAATTATGGAAAGAGCCCAGATGTCTTTCGACTGATGAATGGATAAAGAAGAGGTGATATTTTATATATGCAATGGGATATCATCCAGCCATCAAAAGAATGAAATCTTGCCATTTGCAGGGATACGGATGGAACTGGAGAGTATTCTACTTAGTGAAGTAAGTCGGAGAAAGACAAATACCATGATTTCACACATACATAGAATTTAAGAAACAAAACAAAACAAAGGATCATGGGGGCAAAAAAAGAAAGGAAAACGAAGAAACAGACTCTTAGCTCCAGAGAACACGCCAATGGCTACCAGAGGGGAGGGTGTGGGGAGGTGAGTGAACCAGGTGATGGGGACGAAGGAGGGCATTTGTTGCGATGAGCGCAGGGCGTGGTATGGAAGTACTGAGTCTCTATATCGTACGCCTGAAACTGATATCGCACTGTATGTTAAGTAACTGGAATTCAAATTTTAAAAACTTAAAAAAATTTCTGAATTAAAAAAATTAAAAGAAGTGGGAGAAAATCAACCAAGTCAGCTGTGTGCCGCGCTGTCGCATCGTTCTGGCAATGACGTACATCTGCACATTCGAGTGACAAAGTACAAATCACGTCTTTTCAGTGATTCCGCATACGAGTCAAATGGCCTTGTATCTGCCCTTTAAGCAAACACTGCACAATGTAAATATGAATGGTAAAACTCATGGAATAATTTAAATATTAATTTGAGAGAGAGAGAGAGAAAGTGCTAGCAGGGGAGGGACAGAGAGAAGGAGAGGGAGAGAATCCCAAGCAGGCTCCACCCTGTCAGTGCAGAGCCCAAGTGCACTGGGGCTGGAACTCGCAAACGTGAGATCAGGACCTGAGCTGAAATTAAGAGTCAGATGCTCGGGGCGTCTGGGTGGCTCAGTCGGTTAAACGTCCAACTTCCGCTCAGGTCATGATCTCAGCTCATGGGTTCGAGCCCTACATAGGGCTCTCCACTGTCAGTGTGGAGCCCACTTCGGATTCTCTGTCTCCCTCTCTCTCTGCCCCTCTCCTGCTTGCACGCTCTCTCTCTCTCAAAAATAAACAAACATTAAATTAAAAAAAAAGAGCCACCCAGGTGCCCCAAATCATGGAATAATTTAAATGTTCAATTTCCCTTCACCTTCTTTACTTTGCCACAGTCGTGGGCAAACAAAAAATAAAGCCTGCCGAGATAAGAGATGTCAGAAGAAAGGGAAAAGCTTTAGATTTTAATGCTTTTAATAGCATTTTTTCCTACTTTTTGAACAAGGGGTCCCACATCTGTTGCACTGGGCACGGCAGGTGACATAGCCGGCCCTAGTAGCAAGCACGGGTGCCTGGCACAAGTGAGCGCTCCATAAATACTAAGAATGAATGGACGGATGGACCTTCGTGAGACAGAGAACAGTGGATAATTCATCCAACCAACCACTAGACCCTTTGACCGTTTATTCAAAAGAGAGAGGGACCAGATAAACAAGGAGTCCCTGAAGGATGGGTAGCAGCCGAAACAACGGGCAGGATGATGTGGCGTCAGGAGAGAATAAGTCTTGGACTAGACTTTGAGAAGTTCCAACATTTAACGGAAAGACAGGAGGGGGAGGATTCTGCAAAAGCTACGAGGCAGGAGTGGCCGGAGGTCAAAGGACAGCTGAGAGCGGGGTGAGGGGGGTCGGTCACAGGAGACAAGGAGAAGTGCGAGCGGTCTGGCCCGCTTTGGTACCTTCCGGTACATTCTGCGTGGTCTCTCAAGGGTTTCCCTCCCTCCCCCGCCAGCCCCTGCCCGTCTCCTGGTTTCCGCTGGATACGGACAGCGTGCCATCAAAAAGCCAAACCGCTTTCCGTCCAGCCACGTCCGAACCCCAGCCACCTTTCGGGGCATCGGAGAACACCCACTCCAGCCTCCCCACCTGCAGGATGTCGCAGAGATCCTGGCAGATGGCAGCCATGTAATCCGTTCTCTCAAACAGCCGCTTTCGATCAAACTCCCACCGAGCTTCTCTCCCCGAAGCCTCGATCTTGGCCCTGGTGTCGAAATAGGCCTTTTTCCACGTGTGCAGGGTGTTCCTAGCCTCCGAGGTTTTGTGCTGGGCGCTGGCTCGATTTTCTCTGTGGAGCAAAGAGAAGCAGCGAGGAGGGGGCGGGGAGGGGAGGCTGAGCCTCGGTGGCGGTCCGAGCCGCACAGCCCAAGGGGAGCAGGTTTCCGAGGGGAGCGCCGTCCCCGAGGAGCAGGGCCTCCCCATCCCACAGCCCCCTGCACCGGCCTACGAGGGTGCGACCCCCTTGCGGATCCGTAGGCCACCCCTGGGGCTGAACGGCACCCGGCCGGCCGCCCACCCAACCGGCAGAGCTGCGGCTCCCCTGGGGACCTCTCTGTTCCATCCGGAAGGGGACCGGTAGCCTCGGCTGGGCCACAAGTCAACAGTGCAGGCTGCAGCACCACAGGGAAATGACAAAGCCAAGATTGTTGTGCCTCTTTCACCTGCAGAGTTTTTTTTGTTTTGTTTTGTTTTTTTTAGGAACGTGAACATCTGCACCTCCTTCATTGATTCCAGAGGCCCTCCAGCCTTAGGGGCCCTGGGACTTGGTGTCTCCCAGGATAACTAAGGAAGACAATCCTGATTAAAATAACCTACGTGTTGGGGCGCCTGGGTGGCGCAGTCGGTTAAGCGTCCG